ACCCCGAGCCACACTCGGGAATACCGCCATGGAGGTTAGTGTGTGTATTCAAACATTATTTTGGGCTATACTCGTCTTATACGACGAGTATAGCCCAAAACCTATGTTTTAACATAAAAAGTAGGGGGTTGTCTTATACGCCCAGTCGTCTTATACGCCCAGTCGCCTTATACGGCGGCAAATACGGTACCTTTTTTTACTTCTCTGCTGTTCCGCACTGTGTATGCTCATGCTCGTCAGATCTCTAGTCAAAACTTACACTGAGCTGAGTTTATCTTTGTCCCAATGTGACAGTGTTATTACATGAAAGACTCATGGATTGAGTCCTGTACTCCACTGTACCAAGACGTCATGGGTATAACCATCACTCCTGGAGGCTAAACAAGGCAGCGGAGAAGAGAAAAAAATGGTGAATGTATTCTTCTGGGGAGGGGGTTTAAAGAAGAACTCCAATGCAAAGTTTAGGTGCTCATTTTTGTCTACGCTAAAAAAATAACAAATAACTTATACTCACCCAATCCTCAGAGCCGGACAGTTGTCACGGCACTCCCTCTAGCCTCTCTTCCTCTACGCTGCAGCATTGGAATGTTCCTCAGCATCCTCACGTGTATACACTGTGTACAGAAGGTGACAATTTACCTCACCTTAGACCAATGCATTGGAGGGGGCAGGAGGCTGGAAGGACCAGTCTAAGAGCAAGCCGGCTCCGCAGTTCAGGTGAGTATAACTTATTTTTTTTAACATAGACAACAACGCGCAGCTAACCCTTGCAGTGCATGGGTAGCCCCACTGCAAGGGTTAATTAAAGTTTTTTTTGGAGTTCTTCTTTAAAGCAATTCTGGGTGTTTTGTTTGTTTGCTTTTGCCCTGCAAGGACAAAACAGGTTTTCTTTATTTATGCAATGCTGTACCACAATTTCTTAGTGAATCCACTCACATGTACCTATATACAGGTGAAACTCGAATAATTAGAATATCGTGCAAAAGTAATTGCAGTAAGTGCTGCAAAAGGGGCCCAAACCAAGTACTGACTACATATGCATGCTTGTACTTTTCAGAGGTCCGATATTGTTCTATGTACAATCCTTGTTTTATTGATTGCATGTAATAATCTACTTTTTTGAGGTTGTGGATTTGGGGTTCTTGGGGTTTTCATGAGCTGTAAGCCATAATCATCACAATGATGACAAATCACGGCTTGAACTATCTTGCTTTGCATGTAATGAGTCTATCTCATATATTAGTTTCACCTCTTAAGTTGCATTAGTGAAATAAATGAACTTTGCACGATATTCTAATTATTCGAGTTTCACCTGTGAAGCTCAGTCTTGCATAACACTGAAAACAACCATCTTTCTGTACTTCTTTAAGTCGCAGATTTTTGACAATCCAGCTATTCTGGTTAACTGAATGATCAAAGTTGAAAATATTCTGCCTGACAGCCCTTTTGCAAGTCTTCATTACGTTTTGCATGATGCATGATAGAGCTAGTCACTTGGATATGCTCTGGTACCTGTGCTATAAATATTAAGTCGGTGACTGCTGAATTTCTTATTTAATATGGTAGGTACCGTACTTTGTTTTACTGCACAGCTATAAGACAAAGACAGGCGTGTTTACTTGGCATATTCATTTATACATACATAAACTGTATATATGTTTTAATGTTAACATTTTTATTAAGATATAGTTTATTTGTTACAGCATAAGCAGGAAACTTACATAGAAAGCAGTTCTGTTACATTAGGTTCAGCATATAGAGGCATATTCCCTTGTCCACTCCTCCCATACTCGCCTCCAGGACTTCTCTAGAGTCTCTCCCATCCTCTGGAACTCCTTACCCCAACCTGTCCATCTATCTCCCACCTTGACTGCCTTTAGGCGTTCCCTAAAGACTCATCTCTTCAGGGAAGCCTATCCCACCTCAACCTAACCACTGAACCTTCACATTCTCACATAATTCATTCCCACAGCTACCTCATGTACCATTTCCCCCTCCTCTTTTAGATTGTAAGCCCTCAGGGGCAGGGCCCTCCTTACCATCTTGTCTTGAATTGTATTGTAACTGTATTGTCTTCCTTATATTGTAAAGCGCTGTGCAAACTGTTGGCGCTATATAAATACTATGTAATAATAATAATAATATTTAACTGCACAACAAAGGGGAACCCATAACACTGGTATCAGAGAGCATTATGGATTCTATTTTTAAAGAGAGGTCATAACAGTACACTGTTCACTTTCAAACTCTCTCTCTAAGTGAATGTTTTTGTATTGTTGTACATTGGGATGTTCAGATACCAGTTCAGATACCAGTGCTGATACTCAGCATTTTCATGAGAACTACCAGGGTTGCAGCGGATGCAGCTGGGACCTGGCTCTGGCGTTCCACCGCTGTCCTGAAATCATTAGTCTGTATTCTTTTAGAAAAACTGTCACATGACAATAAACAAAAATGTATCAGTACTTCTATCTGTGAGTACTTGAACAAGTATCAGTACTTCTACTTTAAAAAATGGTATCGGTGCATCCCTTATGTATATTTATAAAAAAAAAAAATCGTACATTAAGGAAGAACTATGAGATGAGTGATTTCCACTCACCTCATAGTTCTAGCCGACCTGTGACAATGAGACTGTCACAGGTCGGCTCAGTAGATCGGGAGGTGAGCGAACACATACCAGGTTCGCTCACCTCTCGATCCTGTCACGGCTCTCTGCCGTGACAGGGGGAGGGCTGGATTCCCCTCTCCCCGCTCCGATCTGCCAGCGCTGACTGGCAGAACGGACGGGGAGGGGGTGGGTACAGCTGGCTCTGCCTCTAGATAGGCAGAGCCAGCTGTCACTCACGCAGCTGGGCGGATCCCGTCATCTACGTCAGGATCCGCTCCGGCTGCGGCGCCTCAGTATACCGCGAGCTGTAGCTCGCAGTATACTGAGCTTAGGGTGACGGGAGGACGCTAGTTTGTGTCCTCCCGTTACCCCAAGGAGAACTATGCGGAAAAACACTGACCCCATAGTTCTCCTTTAAAACAGTGGTGCACAAATCCCAGGAGCTCCGTATGCTCCTTAAAAATCACAGCTGTACCCCAATTATGGGTAATGCTCTATTCGCTCCAGGCGAGATCTCATCTTCACTACTATCCTGGTCTAAATCCAAACCGTCTCCTATCACTTTAGCTTTTTCCACACAGGGTCTCAAACCCTTGACCGATTTGCTACCTGAAGGAACTAACATTTCGGGACAATGGCTTCAATACTTTCAAATTCGAACATTTTACCTTTCCTTGTTATCCCAAACTGATCTTATTAGGCCCCTTACATATTTTGAGTCTATATGTCTCTCCTACTCTCCCCCCACACATGTGATCTGTCTACTTTACTGACTACTGCTGTCTGTGCAATCCTTAGCCAGACCATATGGGAACGCGACCTTAACCACGACCTTACCGATTCAGAGATCAAGTCGGCATATATTTTTACACACAAGATTTCCGTTGCCAGGTCAGCTCAGGAAACAAGTTTCAAACTTTTATCCAGATGGTATCGTAGTCCTGTTATTCTCCATTGTATCTCCTCAGACTATTCTCCACTATGCTGGCGCTGTAATTCTCACACGGGCTCTCTTTACCATATTTGGTGGACTTGTTCTCCGATATCTCCCTTCTGGGAAAAAGTTTTTGATGTATCGTCAGGTAACAGGATCCTCCCTAGCCTCTTCCCCGGAAATAGCACTTCTCCTAATCTTTTCAGGCTCTATATGCCACTTCAAGAAGAATCTCCTTGGCTTTTTTGTGTCCTCTGCACGCTCTCTCATACCAAGACACTGGAACTCAACCCGAGTCACCTCCATGAGAGAATGGATTGGCGAAATTTGCCACACTATGCACCTGGAACAGCTGACCGCCTACTTACGAGATAGACATAATCTTTATTCTCTGAAACATGGAACCCCTGGATCTTATACATGGACTCTGATCACTTCAGGTCTCTTTGAATCTCTGTCATTGCTTCCCATATCTAGAATCTGTAGAACATGATTTATACCCCTTGACCTACTTACTCTATGTATCGGGCAAACTGAGATGCTGATCTAGCAGCAGATCCCTGCCTTTCCCCATCAGATCGTTACCCACCGCACCTCCTTCCCCCTCCTTTCCTCTATACTCCCTTAACCCCCCCACCCCCTTTTTTTTCTCTTCCTCTGTTGCATTTTTGTTCTTTACCATACATACTTTTTACTACACAGGATTGTGTCTGCATTCTGGTGAATTGAAGCCATTCTTGTTGCTTGCTGTTGCATTTATGTATCACGTTGCAAATTCACCATGATTGACAAATGTTTGTTTTGTTACCTATGCGCTTGTAAAATGTAATAAAATCTTATTACTTAAAAAAATGACAGCTGCCCCATAACTTTTGGATTTTTCTCCAGTCTAGTCTTAGAGCTGGAAAAGTATCTGTACTTGTACCGAGTACGGTACTTGGTATCTTAACATCCCTAGTTGTACAGCACGGGGTGAGTTATTCTTTGGATTCATTCAGCTGTGCATGTACTGTGAGCTTCATCTAATCAGCTCTTTAAACATCTGGCCTTCTTTAGCAATGCAGGATAAGTTACCCTTGCTTACCAGTGGAAATGTGCCTGGCACTTCATCAGGGCGAAAGTAAATACAAATAAAACACTATTAAATTACACAGTATACTTGCTTCTGACAGGGTCCCTTTAATTAAGTCTAAAAAAAAGTCTAATACCACACCAGCTGCTAGTACGAGTTCTCAGTTAACTGATATCATCCATTCTTCATATTTGGCCAATGATTTGTAATGTTATACATTGATAACTAAAAAACTATCTAACATGAACCATTACACGATGAGCTGAATATGCAAATGCTGTATGAAGAAAGCATACTGCAAGTTAAGTTAGTTTGAAACTTTTTCATGATAAATGTTTATTATTTCCAGTTTCGGACAGAATCAAACAATAGACATAAAAGCTATGGAGCAGTTTGAGTGTGACTTCTACCAAACAGACTACAATTTAGAAGACGCTGCTCAAGGTTCTTCTATACCTGGGGCATGTAGCCAGTATGGTGAAAATGTGTGAGTATCATCTGCCAATAATAATCAATGCATCAAATACTAACAAGATATCTATCATTCTCAAAAACGACCTTCTTTTGTCTTTCATGACATACCTTTAGGCCTTTCTATTCTACATATAAAGCAGTATGTAAAAGTACCCCAAAACCATGAGAAAATAATGCCAGTTTCATCTGGATTGCTGCATCTGACTGTTACTATGGCTGTTGATAATGTGAAGGTACTCTATTCGATATGCAGGTGTCAGTGTTTATGTTCAAATAGTTGTGTGCCTGGTTTTTGCGTACAGTATAGGATACTTTCACTTAAAATAGTATTAATTATATTTTTGCCCCAAGTATTTACAGTCATCATGTTTCCATACTGGCTCCAACTCTCTCACCTCAGCTTCCCTGAACTTCCTGTCCTGTGCAAGATCACAAAGGAGAGCAAAGTCTGCACCAGCTGTCCATCTACTAGCTTGGAGAAGGGAGGGCAGAGGAGAAGGGGAGTGGCCTGCCTTGCTATACCTGTGTGTTTGTGGAGACAAAATCTGAAGCAGTTGCCCATGGCATCCAATCAGCTTCTCTCTTTAGTTTCTTCAGTTAAGATTTGAAAATGAAAGAGAGAAGCTGATTGGTTGCCATGCACAGCTACTCCAGATTTTGTCTGCTCCAGTTTTGATAAATTCCCCTCACACAGCTTACTAACACACACAAGGGTGGCTCCACAGGACCCTGCAAGGAAAACCAGCCACCCTAAAACTGGATATCAGGGCCAGTGCTCAGGGGACCAGCTGATTCTGCAGAAAACTAAAACTTTTAAAGATTAACGAGCAGCATCCATTGTAAGTGATTTAACCAGCATATGAAATATCACTTTAAAAAATGTGTGAAGGCAAAGACAAAGGTACACCTATAATTCAATCATTTGAAACGCCTGTTACTATGGCGACATCGGTGGCTGACGGGTGAATGATTTCCGCACTTGTCCTGACCCACGGGAGACTGATGGGACACAATCGGCTCTTTCCCTTCCCTTCCTCTTGCTGTTAGAGCCACTTACAAAGGGTGATCATGGATGATGTATGAGGTGGGACTTTCTTTTCATGTACACTATTAACAAGTAGGATGTAGCAATATTCTGTGTATTCTGTATTTTAAATGATTGAATTTTAGTGGGAATGTGACATCATTATGACATCAGCGGAGGGGGGAGTTGGATTATCTTGATGCTTTTTTGCACTAGTGTATGTGTATTTAGGAACAGCTGCCTACATCATTTGTCATATTGTACATGATAAAGGGTCCTAAGTGGCCACGGAATGTTGCTTTTTCTGTGACAAGATGTACGTTTGGACACTTGACATGACATACTATATTCCTCTACATTAGAAGACTGACAGGTTGCCAAGTTTCTTTTCTTTGCAAAGAATGTAGGGGATGAGATTTAAAGATTAATTTCTCCACAATGCCCATAGCTACAGAGGTGAATGAGCACTTGTACAGAATATATAAATACTTTAATGTGCATAGTCTGGGCACAGGATCACGGTAAGCATCAGGGCAGCACTGACAAACAAAATTACGTAGGGCATCTTTTGACACACCAGAGCAATTTCTACAACTTCTAAAACATTATTAGGTAACTCCTCTTCCTTACAAGTAACCTAACTTTATTTATGTTCTGTAAAAATAATCACATTCTCATATATACAGATGACCACTAGAGGGTGTTTTTACAATCTGTATACGAAAATCTATAAACAAACATGCAATATCAAGCAAGTAAAAATGTGCAAGTCACATAAAAAATTACCTTTAGGTAATTACTTTTAGCCATTTAAATCACTTCAGGTCTCACATCTGTTTACCCATATGGACCAAAACAATTTTCACATTGCATTTACAGTCCTGGATTTGACAATTACTTATGATAATGACACACACACACACATATATAATTATTTCAAGGGCTTGTTCACATCAATTACAGTGTGCTCCAGCGGGGGTTAGCTGCTGGAACACACTGTATCACATACTTAACTCCCTCCTGTGTTCTGGGACGGACGGGGTCTCAGTGCGATTGCCCGCACCAGAACGCGTGGCACAATAATGCCTGCGTTCCAGTCCAGTACGATCGCAAAAAATAGTGCATGCAGCAATTTTTTGCAATTGCACTGGACTGGAACGCAGACACTGTGGGCCCCTCCCACCCCAGAATGCAGGGGAGAGTTTAGTGTGTGATACAGTGCTTTCCAGCAGCGAACCGCACTGAAACACATTGTAATTGGTGTGAACAAGCCCTAAAGGCAAAATGAAGTAAAAATGAAGTAAACACTGCACATTCACATCAGTCCCTGCCCTCAAGGAGTTTATAGTCTACGGTCCCGTTCGCATATGCAAACATACAGGGCCAATTTTAGACAGGAGCCAGTTAACCTTCCAGCACGTCTTTGGAGTGTGGGGAAACAAAAGTTCCCAGAGGAAACCCACACAAGCACAGGGAGAACATACAAACTCCTTGCAAATAGTGTCCTGACTGGGATTTGAACCCCCATTGCTAACCGCTATGCCACTGTGTTGCTTTGTCCAGTCTATTATGACACTACAATTATGTTTCTGGTACACACCTAGACTTTATATTATAACATATTTAGCCAATTATTATTATAGCCACTACCAGTGGGCATACCCTGATAATTCTATTGCAGTTACAGATCAAGAAAGGGAGAATATCTCCAATCAGGAATGATGTCTTCTTTGGATCAGCAAGGTTATATTTGTGAAGAACCACCATATGCTACATCAAATCCACTGAATGCTAGATCGTATATTTTTCAGCCCAGTGACAACTTCGAAGATGAACCTCCTTTGTTAGAAGGTAATGAGAACACATGAATGGAAGGCAAAGTTACTTTCTTCCTGAATTTACTTTTTGAGAAAATACCCCTTTTATTAATATGAAGTAATCCAGGTTCCAATTTCATAACTTTTATAAACAACAATAAGATACATTTTAACACACCTTGGTAAATCACAGCGTGAGCTCTACTAAAAATAAATAGAATGTATATCATTGAGCCACTATCAGCCAGGTTCTCAAAAAAATACAACATTCCTTTTATTTATACATAATAAAACCTTCTCTAAAATATATATTAAATATCTGAGAAACAACCATTCCCTGTTATATTTGTTGTTTAGATATACTATCAGAGTTATTCAAAAAAGGGTGAAGAGTTCGAAGACGGCAGGGGAAGTGGGAAGTGAACAATCTAGGCCAAAATAGCTGATTTAGAAAAATCTTCCACTTCAGCTATCTTTCCAGTTCAGCTATTTTGTCCTAGATTGTTCACTTCTGTCTTCTCCAAACTCTTCACCCTTTTTTTTTAAAATAACCCTGTTAATATATAAGTAGCCACCTTACAAGTCCACCAATATTACTTATTTATTCAACAGGTAGTCTATCATAAGCAAGCATTATCACTCATGGTTTTGGGGTTCCTTCTTGAGTCCTCTTTGAGAATGGAACGTCCAAATTTTATTAGCAATCCCCATTTGGGGGACTGTATCAAAAGTTCATCAGCTGGTGGAGAATGTTTTCTGGGCGCTTCAGTTAGCACCTACACTTGCCTCTCCAGGAATTGACTCCTCCACTTGCTTTTTTTTATCCTACTTAAATACAATAACACTAAAATCACACATTGGCTATCACATTGATCACTAGTTCTGGAGTCAGTCCATCTCTATCTCAAGCAGCCACTACATCACTGATGGATACTGTCACCACAAGTCTTTACTTCCCTCCGCCACCTTGCTTCTCTGGCAACCCTAAGGCATGTCATGATTTCATTAATCAGTGCTCCATTCTGTTTGAACTTTTGGCCTACATCTTTCCTCCTGACTGCGCCAAGGTAGCATATATAATTTTGCTACTCTCTGGTGAAACATTGGAATGGGCCCTGTGGGAACATAATAAATTCCATAACCTCTAGTCTTGATGCTTCCTGGGCACATTCTGGAAGACTTTTGATGAGCCTAGAAGAACCTGTTCTGCTGCTGGCGCACTCCTTTGACTTTGTCAGGGATGACCTGCTACCTTCTTGTAGATATATCCATACCTCCCTGAATAAATTGGTTGCACTTTGTATTTAAGTAGATTTAGTTAAATAGTTTGATTCCAGGATTCTAGTCTACACAACCTCCATTGAGGCCTTCCAGCCCCCATTTTTCAAAAGCCTCTCAGGCCTCCACCATCTCCTCCTCTTTAGCTTCCGAAGAACTGATACAACTTGGGAGAAAATGCCTCACTCCCAAGAAGAAAACTTGATATTGCAATTTGGAGCTATTCCTTTATAGTGATGCAAAGTGACTATGTTTGACAAAGACCTGCCCCATCCATCCAGGAAACTCTCAGGTCCAGCTCATCCAGGAGGAGGTGGCCTAGACATATTATCCATTGCAGCTGATGGAACCTGAACACTTATCATCTTTACAAATATATTGATTCCAGCAGGAAATTTCCTCAAACAATCTTTGGTTTCTGAATTGGGCATTCCGCTGATCACCCTGGCATTCCCTTTCCCTGTGTCTAGGTTGACGGCTTCATTTTGTCTGTAGGCTCCATTAAGTTTTAGATATCCTCTATAGTTGTGCACATCAGGGCATTGCCTTAAGAGGAGATCTCCCTCCTAGTATTGCATAAATCTATTAATCCCAATATTATAGACCTTCCTTGGCTGCAAGAACACTCTCCTAATCTGGACTGGAATGGGGAAGTACAAGGCCTGTTTGCTCAAGATCCTGCCACCATCCTCCATCACCTTGGCTATTACTACCACCATCACAATGCTCCCACCAGTTTACTAGTCCTTCCAGGTTGTCTTTTTTAAAAAGGGAGCAGATCACCTTCCTTCTTGACATGCTTTGTACTGCCCCATTGACCTCTTGCCAGGAACTTCTCCTCCATGCAGTGGTATCTATCCTTTGTCCATCACCAAAACGCAGGCCATGTCAGAGTATATTCAAGAAAATCTCCAGAAAAAAAGTCTATCAATATGAAACATGAAGTACATACTACCCATTATCATAGCAATCAATTGAATATTATCTTCTTTCTAATGTTTTAGGCAAGGACTATGGGCGGAGAGTAACATCAGCCTTTTGTCCCATCTGCTGATTTCACAACCCACTGCTGGACTTCAGCTCCCAGCAGCTCTTGTCAAACTTCCTGCTACTTCCAAACTTGCTGGCACAGATTGTACTCACCAGGCCAGAGAGCTTGGGAGGTATGTGGAGGGAGCAGCTATCAATTTTCTCGGAGGAGGGGTGGTAATGGATTCAAAGTACCCATGTGGAAGCGACCAGCCCCTTCCACACAACTGACAACACTGGGAAAGAAGCTACATTACCAATCAGTCTTGGTGGCAGGTGGCAACTTTGGGAAGTTAAAAGGACAATTTACATTGTTGTCACCCTTTACCAGGAAGAGTGATGTAGGAAGTGAAACTGCCGGGAATCAACAGGAATGTTTTTAGCGGAAAGATAAGAGAAAGTAGAAAGCACTTCATTAAAGGCTAACTGCTTTCTACTTTACATAATTTTACAATAATTATCATGATTGACTTAGCAAAAGTACAATCTCCTATTATTTATTGGCAAAAAGTAATGAAAAAATAAATATATAGAAACAAAAAGGGTAATGAGAATTTAGACATTTGTTGCATAAATAATGGTAAATGTCTTAAAATGTATTTTTACTGCAGAACTGGGAATCAACTTTAATCACATTTGGCAGAAAACGTTAACAGTGCTGAAACCATGGAAGCCAGCAGATGGCAGCATAATGAATGAAACAGACCTGACAGGACCCTTGATGTTTTCTTTTGCACTTGGCTCTGCGCTTCTGTTGGTATAATTTTGAATTTATTATGGATAATTACTTGATATATCCTCTAAAGCATGTTTGTCTAAGCATATTGTGATGCATTGTTTAAAATAATGTTACAGTGGCAGAATACATCTTGAGATTCCACTCCTGTGAAATCATCATGCAGCATGAAAATATTAGAGGGGCTTAAAAATTTGCTTTTGGAAAACACTACGGGTGGGAAATAATTCACAAAACAATCTAATTATTGACCAATTTATTTCTCAAGGATTTTACAAATGCACATTTCTTGGGCTCTTGGGCAAATAAATATTTTCTAATTAGCTACGGCAAACTGTAATTATAGATGATAGATGGCATTAGTCACAGGGAGCCTTAGACCTTGTTTGACATAACAAAGTGTAATACAACTAATGTCACAGGCTCTTATGTTGCAGACCTCTGCTTTCACAAATTGAAGGCCTAACATAATAATATTTTTATTGCTCAAGGTGGGCTTGTTTGTAAAAGTGGTGCAAATTATAGCTCAGAATAAATAAGACCTGCATAGTGGGAAATGCTTTAAAAAAAATAAAGCATGAACAGATAAGTGATAATCCAGACATTCAATACCCAATACAACTTCACATTTCATTAACTATTGAATGTTTCAAACACAGGCTGTAAATGTGATGCCAAGATTAATTCTTGCATACATCTGCACATGAAAGGACATCTAGAGGAAACAAGGTTGCCTATTTATCTGGACTGACTAGGATTTTCAGGAAATATTTGCCTTACTTTAACATAACAAGGTATAACATAGAGGGGTCTTGCCTCTATCAACATTGTTTTACAGGGAACACTCCTATAGTTGGTTGCAGTACTGGACAGACTTAAAATGAACCTGACGAGGCCTAAGTTGTTGATAAGATAACCATTTTGAGCCCTTCCATTTAGAAGCTTTGCCATTTCAAAGTTGAAAGACAGAATATAGGTTAGCATTGGGCTAAGCATGGATTGAAGTCAGGGCCCCACATAGAGCCCAGGCCTATGTTTCAAATGGTTCCACAGATATACAAGGATCAATTTTAAGGTTAAAGGAGAACTATGAGGTGAGTGCTTTTCACTCACCTCATAGTTCTAGCCGACCTGTGACAATGAGACTGTCACAGGTCGGCTCAGTAGAACGGGAAGTCAGCGAACACATCCCGGCGTTCCCTCACTTCTCGATCCTGTCACGACTCTCTGCCGTGACAGGGGAGGGGCTGGATTCCCCCCTCCCCGCTCCGATCCTCCAGCGCTGACTGGCGGAACGGACGGGGGAGGGGGCGGGTACAGCCGGCTCTGCCTCTAGATAGGCAGAGCCAGCTGTCAGTCACGCAGCTGGGCGGATCCAGACATAATTGTCGTGATCCGCTTTAGCTGTGGCGTCTGAGTATACCGCGAGCAGTAGCTCGCGGTATACTGAGCTTTGGGTGACGGGAGGACGCTAGTTTGTGTCCTCCCGTTACCTTAAGGAGAACTATGGGGAAAAGCCCTAACCCCATAGTTCTCCTTTAACACCAGTGCCACCAGATTTATACATTTCAGCAATGTTGTCATCTTATAAGTAATTTAAAACCAGTCAAGAGTTAGAGGAGAATTGTCAGAGTATAACTTTATTGGTGACCAGTCCATCATAAGACTAGCAGTATAAAGAGTTGGTCTATTTCATCTTGGGAGCTCTGCAAAGAAGTTCTGGAGCTTTACTGACTTCATACAATTGTACATAGAGGTAGCTTTAGTATAGTTTTCAAGAAAGAAACTCTTTAACTCTCACATTTAGGAACGATACAGACTATTTTCAGTTGTATTATGAAATTACAAAAAAATGTTTAAATTAACCTGACCTAGTCCTAATGCTTCTTAGTTAGCAACAGCTTTTGTGTACATGAACCTTCTAGTCCCTGTAACCACCTGTGAATGTTTTCAAATTTATACCTGTATCCCTGTAAATCTATTTGAATCCTTGCCCCAAACTGTGCACAGGGCTTCAGCTTCTCCCCAAGTAAAGGTAAAGCCAGGTTCCTTCCCAGCTCTAAGCCCTGGCCTCTAAATTTAGGCTTTCAAAAGCCAGAAACTCTGGGCAATACAGACACTGGAAGATGGGACAGTATATAGGGCTGGGCTTAATCAAAACTTGGGCAGAAGCCAAGTCCCTTTGTACGTTATGGACTACACAGGTACTTGCAAAGACTAGAGGGTCCCTACACTTAAGCACTGCTGTTCATTTTTTAGTGTGCCAGTGTTAAATCATGGCTGTGTCAGACTAAGTTTAGAAGAGAAATATAGGTTCAAAAGTAAGGACAATAGGACAAAAGCAAGTTGTGTAATATTTCAATAGCTTTTGAGACACATGATCTTAATGAAGAACTGGACATACAGTATGTCTGTTTATAAGAGAAAACGGAAAAATGATGTTCCCAATACTTGTCAGATCGAATGGGAAATTGAGACGACAGGAAGGAAAACTTTTCAGTTTGTTTTTACAAATGATACTACAATCTGAAGAAGAAATTTATCATAAACAAACTCTTTTTCTGGTGAACCAGTCTCAAATTCTTAACTAGATAATAGAATTGTCTGCACCGCTAGGTGATGTGCAAGCACCAACATTGTCCACACAACAGTGACTCCACAACTTGTGGTATCAGTCAGTCATTGTTTACAGAAGATAATTCTTGTTGTTATAGATCATGTTTTCCCATTTGGCAATCTCCTGCTTACTTCTTATCTCAGTGGCTATATAGTAAATTGGGAATAATCTCCACAGTGCGTATCACAGACAAACAAACAAAAACAGACATAGAGTTTTAATCCTTCCCCAATCCATCAAAAAAAACAACAAAAAAACAGACACAGGGTTTTAATCCTTCCCCAATCCATCAAAAACAAAATGTGTTGTCTATCATTGAGTGATGTTTTACTAGCCTTGTGGTTCAGAAGGCTTTCCCAATGCTTAACATGTGCTTTTAAACTTCACACGTGCAGCATTGTGTATACGAACAGACCGCACTATCCAGAGAATTCCAATACTTCAGAATTTATTGAAGTTCACAGCAAATCCAGTATAACCGTGAATAAAAGTGTATAAAGCAACAAATACCAGCACTGCACACCCTACCAGCTACAACCTCTATGAATAAGCCTACGGTGTAAACATGTGAGAGGTTGTAGCTGGTTGGGGGTGTGCAGTGCTGGTATTCTGCTTGGAATTCTCTGGATAGTGCAGTCTGTTCGCATACAACAGCTAATCCTCGCTTATCGACTTACCTGCTTTGCGACCACTCGCACTTACGACCGTCCTCCGATCGTCCTCCAACCTTGCGCATCAGCGTCAGTGCGACGTGTCGCCGGCGGAAGTGATGCCCTCCGTTCTTCACTGAGGGTCCCGGTAAGTATTTAATTGCCCGATGAACAGTACACTGTTCAGTACTGTACATCTGCAACGCTATACAGTACTGTACTAATGCAGTACAGTACTGTATAGAGTTCCTCACTTAACGACCAATTTGTTTAACGACCTGGTCGTAGAAACCGAACTCGGTCGTTAAGTGAGGAATACCTGTACTACCTTCCAAGGTGGAGACGCACCTATTGGACTAGCACCTGGGAATTCCTGATGGCGGCTAAGGAATTGGATCGGTGAGATTTCCTTTGGCTCTACATTGTGCTGAGTGGTTAGCACCCTTGCCTTGGCCTTGTCTGAACTCTCTACTGGCCCAATGGAGAAAAGAAGTCTATTACACAAAAAAACTAATCTTTTTAAAGTCAACCTCAATGCATATTAAAATTACATAGTTACATAGTATTTGAGGTTGAATAAAGACATAAGTCCATCAGGTCCAACCTATTGCATGTATGTATATGGTTCTGCTGGTGTGTGCGTGTGTATGGGTCCCTGTGTGATCTTGTTCTTAAGAGTACCTGTACACCTGTATATTACGGTCCCTAAGGAAATCATCAAACAGCTTTTTGAATGATTCCACACTCTTAGCTGAATTCACAGTATGTGGCAGCGAGTTCCAGACCCTAACCGCTCTAACTGAGAAGAACCCCCTTCGCCCCTTGTGCTGAAATTTTTTCTCCCCCAGTTTTAGATGGTGGCCTCTAGTCTTTGTTATGGAGTTAACCGTAAAGAGTTTGTTACTAATGATGCTATCACCATTGAACATTTTGTACATGAAAATCATGTCCCCCCTTAATCTCCTTACTTCCAACATGAACATATTTAAATTTAGTAGCCTTGTCTCATAGCTCTGGTCCTCCATCCCCTTAATGAGTCTGGTTGCCTTCCGCTGGACTCTTTCCAGCTCAAGGACATCCTTTCTGTGGACTGGTGACCAAAACTGGACCGCATACTCCAGATGAGGCCGAACCAGTGATCTGTAAAGTGGCACAATTTTAGACTTGTCTCTGCAATACATCCCCTTCTTAAAACAGCACAGGACTCGCTTTGCTTTACTTGCTTTGTTTACAGCAGCCTGGCACTGCAAGCTATTATTCAATCTGTGGTCTACAATAAACCCCAAATCTTTTTCCATTTCTGACTTCCCTAGCGGCATACCCATAATTGTATAGCCGATTTGCCTATTTTTAACCCCAAAGTGCATTACTTTGCATTTATCGACATTAAACCTGATCTGCCATACAGTTGCCCACCCCCCTATTTTATCCAGGTCCTCCTCCCGATTTTGGTATCATCAGCAAACACTGAAACATGGCTATTCACTCCCTCCCCAATATCGTTAATAAACAGGTTGAATAGCATGGGGCCCAGCACAGAACCCTGAGGCACACCGTTCATGACCCTAGACCAGTCTGAAAAGGTGCCATTTATCGATACTCGTACACACCATTTCATCTATGCCCATGGATCTCAGCTTGTGTAGTAAGCGTTTATGTGGTACCGTGTCAAAAGCTTTTGCAAAATCCAGATATACTACATCCACCGGCCTCCCTCCATCCAGATCTCTTACCCTTTGTAAAAAATTAGCAGT